TTTTAGAAAAAGAAACATGTGTTCTCTCCGTCAAGATTCGAACCTGCCTCCTACTGAGCAGAAATAACCGTATTTCAATTCAACAGGGAGACGCTACAGTCTGTGTCAGGCTTGAGCGCAATCCTCAGGCTTTATCTACATATTTCTAAGCTGATCCCTTTTGCAGACACATGCTCAGTCACATTTTTGTTTTTTCAACATCCACAGTTTTTACTGCGAGTATGCTGAGCGGAACCCAAATAGAGTTTGTGGCAGCGAAGAGCAATGGCTCTTTTGCCAGGATGGCTATTGAATGGAAAGGGGTACCATATGAAGTTGCCTTAAAATCATACCATCTGTTCACCCCTAGCGTTTTTCAGCTGAATTTTTCCGAAAGCATCGAATGATTTATTAACAGGAAGTCACAGGTCATCGTGACCGAGATTTTCATTTGTTCAAACTACGTATATTTACCCATATTTGGTGGTTGTCCGAAATGTGATTTGTATACGTTATGTGTGTGAGTGAAAAAAAATTAAGTTACACCGGTTGTGGTTGTAGGTGGGCATATCTTAGTTTACAATCAGTGTACCTGCGGGGGAAAATGGCCCAGTGAATATGCTCATTAACAAAGAAACACGGAGGACATGGGGAGAGGTTGCCACCATGAACATGACGTGACGGATCCTTGCCGTGAAGGTCTGGACTTATAGAACGAAGGAACGCAATTCACTACAACATTTATCAGCATAATAGGCGAGCAACAGAGTTCAAAAGCGTCAATGATTTTGAACTCCGAACAGTGAGGACTGGGGAACGCCGTCTAAGATATGGCAACACGGATCCTTCTTCCAGATATGAAGAACGGTTATGGACTTAAATTAACACGTTTTATATAGATAGTAGAGTGTCACATAGATAGATATATAGATACATAAACCAGGAAAGAGAGAGGCAGCGATGGTGATGCAGCTGAGATAGATAGATAGATAGATAGATATCAATGGACTGAGACAAAGGGCAAGAGGTCGATAAAGAGCGACAGAGAGAGAGAGAGAGAGAATTACTTTAGATAGATAGATTGATAGAAAGGTAGATACATAGTTAGATAGATATGAAGAGACTGTGATAGATGGATAGAGGGAGTAAGCTACTTGAAACAGATAGATAGATAGATAGCTAGATAGATAGATAGATAGATAGATAGATAGATATCAGTGGTCGATTGCGAGGGATAGATAGAGAGAAGTGCTTGAGATACGTAAATAGGTAGATAGATATTAATAGAATGTCAGAGATGGATAGAAGGAGAAAGGGGGAATGATAGGGAAGACACATCTACATGAAACATAGATAGATAGATAGATAGATAGATAGGTAGATATCAATGGACTGAAATAGGGAGCGAAAGTTCGATAGTGAATGGCAGATTGAGAGAGAGAAGCCCTTGAGATAGATAGATAGATAGATGAACCGCATGACATAGATAGATAGATAGATAGATAGATAGATGAACCGCCTGACATAGATAGATAGATAGATAGATAGATAGATCAATGGACTGAAATAGAGAAAGAGAGAGTTCAATAATGATCGACAGAGAGAAAGGGAGAGAAGTGCTTGAGATAGATAGATAGATAGATAGATAGATAGATAGATAGATGTCAATGGACTGAAATAGAGAGCGAGAGTTCGATACTGAGTGTCAGAGAGAGAGAGAAAGAGAGAATCCATCGAGATAGATAGATAGATAGATAGATAGATACTGAACAGACACGGATAGATAGATAGATAGATAGATACTGAACAGACACGGATAGATAGATAGATAGATAGATAGATAGATAGATAGATAGATAGATAGATAGATAGATAGATAGGAACAGACTGAGATAGATAGATAGATAGATAATGACGAAACTGTAATAGAGAAGTTTATACAAATGCCTTCATGTGCACATCAGATATGCGCTGTGTTTTTGAAATGAATTGGCCCTTGCGATCCCAATGTCCATCCTGAATACATTCCCCATTGATCAGACCCTGGCGAAATCGACACCTGTCACAGCAATCGGCCCTTCCGAGCCAGCATCAATCCATTTCCTTTCTGTTCGACCCGATGGGTTGGCGGCTGCTGGGTCCTGTGCTGCTCTGAAGTTGAGCCGGGTCTGCAGGAAAATTAGCAAGGTTTCTAATTTCAGCTACTTGGCAATATTCCTTCACTTTACAACTTAAATAATGAAAAGGCATACATGTGTGTATGTGTTTACGCACGCGCGGGTGTGTCAGTTTGTGCGGATGTTCTATGGATGTATTTGTGAATGTGATAGGGTGAAATTAAATATACGCGTGTTTGTTGAAAAATTATCGATCTGAAATACTTTCCAATATCTTAACAAGCGGAATACGTTTTTTTTTTTTTTTTACTCTAGCGCATAAAATATCTAAATATCAAAATATTTTTTAAAATACTGGTGGTCACTGAATTGTATTAAGCATTCCTATTTATGAGTATTAAATTTAATTTTCTACCTAATAAAAATATCACCTAAATTCGGAAATTTTGTCTATCCCTTTCAGCTGTCAAATTATAAGACCTAGCTGCCAATTTAGTACTGCACGTTAATTAATAAAGTTGACGTACACAAGGGAAAAGTTTATCAGGATAATTATCATGGACATATTTTATTAAACGCATAAGGAAGCTACATCACGGCAGTGGGAATGTGGCTGACGCCGAGATGTCATGTGAGGCCCAATAACATTGCCGATTCATCTTTTGATTTTGTCAAGAATCAATAAATATCTGTCAATAATTCTGAGATGATGTATTACGTACACGATTTACATTATTCGGATTATTGTCCTCATATTTGTCGCCATGTTTATCACAACGTTTCGGCTATTTTACGCTACGGCCTTCTTCAGGTGGTTGGAATGTCGAACTGAACCCTTTATTTCGCTCACAGGGGTAGCATATTCTACTTCCACGTTCCATGTCTAATGGATGTCAGTTATCTCCTGTTAATTCTCCTCTGAAAGTTCTCCACTGCCTTAACCGGGTTAAGAGCTCACACTCTTTGGGTCCTGTCACTGGATCTAACTGACGCCTTTATCCACAGTCCCATATGTACTTGAATCAAGAATTACATAGTAAGAACACCAGACAAACGGCATACAAAGGAAGAGTATACTACTAAATGTGTGTTATATATATAAAAGCTGTCTGCGCGAAATCTGTGGAGATACTCTTCGAGATAAGACATCTAACGTAGACCTGTTTAAGAAGTGTAATATTGGAGGAATCGAGAGTTTTCTCATACTGTCTCAGTTACGGTGGACTGGTCATGTCTTGAGAATGTCTGATGACAGGATACCCAAGATCTGAATGTACAGCCAGTTAGATCAGGGCTACAGGAATGTAGGACGCCCATGGCGAAAATACAAAGAGAAGGTGAAAAGCAACTTATCAGCAGTCAATATACCACATAACACCCTTGGGTGCTTAGCTTTGGAGCGGGTAGAATGGAGATCAACGTGTTTTAGTGGACTCAGCAATTTTCAATCTGCTTGTCTGAATAATCTTCAAGAAGTGAGAGCACTATCTAAAAGGTCAACCACTCTAACAGTGATCTCATCTCACAATCCTTACACTTGCTCCATATGTGGCCTCTTTTGTAAATCATTAGCGGGTCTTAAATCCCACTTAAGATTATCGCACAAACTTTCATAACTAAATCAACTAAGCTATCAGATCCTCATATATATATATATATATATATATATATATATATATATATATTTAAAAAAGTTTCGTTAAATAATTTATGCGTGTTCTTTCTACTTATTTTCGATAGGATCCTTTCATATTCACGGATAAGCTTTTTGGGGGTGGTTTTTGAAAGACGACAGGAAAACACCTTGATGGTTCATACTGTATTTATCCTTCTAGAACATATTTCGACATAGCATAATATCATCATCAGGTAAT